GTTTTTAAACCATGCAGTATTCCCTTGTTCTGTTTGCACAACTGCCTCTTGATCCATGTGTGAGTTGTGCATGAGCATACTCATCTGTTCTGGAATTTCTATTCTCAGTTATCCACAGTTTATGATGGTCCACACCAGGGGTCCTCAAACTTTTTAAACGGGGCCAGTTCACTGTCCCTCAGATCCATTGGAGGGCCAGACTATAGCTTAAAGCAAAAAAAAAAAAAAAAAAACCAGCAAATTCCTGTGCACACTGCACATATCTTATTTTGAAGTTAAAAAAAACGGGCAAAAACACCCAGCTGGCTGGATAAATGTCCTCAGAAGGCCACGTGGCCCACGGGTCGTAGTTTGAGCACCCCTGCCCTAAAGAGGTCTTGTGCAGTGGATTTACTTAATGCAGTATTCTTTTTGATCTCTTGACTGCTGCTTCCCTGGCCATTAATTGTGGATCCAAGCAAGACAAATGACAACTTCAATCTTTCTTCATTTATCATGGTATTACCTAGTGGTCTAGTTGTGAGGATTTTGATCTTGTTTCCATTGAGTTGTAATCCACACTGAAGCCTACCATCCTTGATCTTCATCAGCAAGTGCTTCAATTTCTCCTCACTTTGTGCAAGCAAGGTTGTGTCATCTGCATATTGCAGGTTGTTAATTACCCTTCCTCTAATCTTGATGCCCCATTCTACATATAATCTTGCTTCTTTGGTTATTTGCTCAGTGTACAAATTGATCAAGTATGGCGAGAGAATACAACCTTGACAGAGAACCTTTTCTGTTTTTAAACCATGCAGTATTCCCTTGTTCTATTTGTACAACTGCCTCTTGATCCATGTATAAGGTGACCAGATTTAAAGCGGGACACCATTGACCGAGGGGTGGGGGAGTGTTCTTATTTAAAAATTTGGTCTAAATGGATCAAATAGACCATTCCCTAGCTTGTGCAGTCTTTCCAAAAATCGGAACTTTTTTAAAACGCCAAAAATCAGGACTGTCCTGCCAAAAGCGGGACGTCTGGTCACCTTATCCATGTATGAGTTGTGCATGAGTTCAATCATCTATTCTGGGATTTCTATTCTTCTCAAAGTTTTCCACAGTTTATTATGGTCCACACCAAGGGTCCTCAAACTTTTTAAACGGGGCCAGTTCACTGTCCCTCAGACCTGTTGGAGGGCCAGACTATAGTTAAAAACAAAAACAAAAAAACTATGAACAAATTTTTATGCACACTGCACATACTTATTTTGAAGTAAAAAAACAAATGGGCAAAAACACCCATCCGGCCAGATAAATGTCCTCGGCGGGCTGCCTGTGGCCAGAGGGCCGTAGTTTGAGGACCCCTGGTCTACACAATTGAAAGCCTTTGCATAGTCAAGTAAACATCTCTCTGATATTGTGCTTTGAGCCACAATCCATCTGACATCAGGGATCTCCCTTGTTCCCTGTCCTCTTCTGCATCTGGCTTGAACCTCTTTCAGTTCCCTGGCAATATCCTGCTGTAACTGTTGTTGGATGATCTTTAGAAAAATTTTACTTGTGTGCAATATCACTGCTATTATTCTATACATTGAGCATTCTGTTGGGTCACCTTTCTTTGGAATGTGAACAAATACGAATCTCTTCCAGTCAGTTGGCGAGGTAGCTGTCTTCCAGATTTCCTGGCGTAAAGTGAGTGCTTCCAGTGCTTCATTAGCTTGCTGAAATATCTTAATAGGTATTAATCAATTCCTGGAGCTTTGTTTTTGGGTAATGCATTCAGTGCAGTTTGAACTTCTTCCTTCGTCCCCCGTGGTTCTGGCTCGTATGCTACCTCTTAAAATGGTGGAATATCAACTGGTTCTTTTTGGTACTTTGATTCTGTGTATCCTTCAATTTTCTTGTTTCCTGCATCATTCATTATTTTGCCCATAGAATCTTTAAAGATTGCAACTTGAGGCTTGAATTTTTTCTTCACTGTTTCAGAAGTGCTGAGCGTGTTCTTCCCTTTTGGTTTTCTAATTCTAGGTCTTTGAACATTTCGTTATCATACTTGGCTTTGTCTTAACTCTTTGACTTCATCTTTTCTTCCATTTACTTTAGCTGCTCTGTGTAAGAGCAAGTTTCAGAGTTTC